TATGGATTTCATCACAACTACACCACACTAAAATTATGTAAAAATCATGAATATTAATATTTTATTTATACATGAAAACAACAACTCTCAAACCCCACCTAAGACTGCTGTGCGTTTAAAACTTTTACAGTATGTAAATGCCCTCTGTGTTTGCATGCAAAATGAGAAACAGGTCTAATAAAATGCAGCAGCTCACTTTAACATTGAGATCCTGCAGCTGCTACACAACACATATCAGAGTTGGGTCTTTTCTGCATGTGGCGTAAGAAATCACAAATTAGTGTTGCCAGATCTTGGTAGAAAAAAAGAACAAGCCCATAATAACCTCAAAACCAAATGCTTTATCTTAGACATAAGCCACATAATTAAATATCATGACCTGCACCTGCCTACTTTATTAACACTATAAACTGGATCGCTTTATGAGCAGAGCAAAAAAACAAGCCCAAAGATGCTTAATAAGCGTCGCTCAAAAGCGTGCTCTGCTAAACAGCTTTCCAAAATTAAACAAAACACTACGGCTCTGTAAACGGTGGTTTAGTTCAAATCGCCAAACATAAGTCTTTGTTTTATTTACAACTTCGAAAAATCTTTATTATTTTTTTTCAATTGTGTTTCTAAATCATGAACAACTAAGAAACCTTGACTAATTTTACATTGATCTGATAAATGCAGTCTCTCTTTAGTTCTTCTGCTGTTCAATAATAGCAGTATCTATCCTACAGTACTTGCTCCTTTTTACCCCATCATGACTGGATGGACAAAGTTTCTGAACACCAGAAAGGCATTGTGGATGTGGGTGGTCTTGGTCTGATATCAGAACGTGCGGAGGAAGTCTTGAGTACTGAACATTACAGTATGTTTTGATGGCACATTGAACTCTATTGGCTCAAAAGAACAAGGAAAATTTTATTGCTCATGGAATGACCTCTTAAAGGGGTCATATGATGCAATTTCAATTTTTCCTTTCTCTTTGGAGTGTTACAAGCTCTTGGTGCATAAAGAAGATCTGTAAAGTTGCAAAGACTAAAGTCTCAAATCCAAAGAGATATTCTTTATAAAAGTTAAGAGTCAACCACGCCTACCTAAAATGGCTCGTTCTAACGCCCCCCCCACATGTCTACGTCACGATGTGGGAAGATTTGCATAACGCCACCCAAATGTTCACGCAAAGAAAGAAGGCGTAACTTTTATTCTCGCTGTAGTATTGTTGTTGCCGCCGCCGTCATGTCGTGAAGGCACTGTGTGTTTCGTTGTGAAAGCGAAACTACTTTGTTTGGCCTTCCAAAAGAGGACATGACTAGAAATCAGTGGTTAAGTTGTATTTACAACACTGTTCCAGAACAGTTTAACCCAAATATTCAGATGTGTCCAGCGCATTTTATGGAGGACTGTTTCCTGATCCTGGTAGAGTAGACTACAATGCCGGCTGTTCTGATTCACAGACTGTAAGTATGGTTTTTATATTTAAAGGATTTGCCACTGATGATTCAAACGCGAGTTTTTTGAGCAGTGTAGAGTAGCACTTGTTGTTTGTCGTTTCTCCGATCACAAATGCAGACATTGTTTTATTTTACAATAATTTTTATTGTAAAAAGACAGTATACGTCATTATAATCCGTAATTATGTCCCCACTGGATGCAACAAATGCCTCGTTTATAATGGGTTTTAATGTTTTTGTCTCGTCGCTCCGGCCAGGACACGGCATCACAGTATGGTGAGGGTCGTAACATTTCCGTCACACGCTTGAGGTATTCGGCCAATCACAACGCACTGGATAGCTGGCCAATCAGAGCACACCTCGCATTTCAGACCGATGAGCTTTATAAAAATGTATGCGTTTCAGAAAGGCGGGGCATAGAGGAGAAACAATAATGTACAGTATGTGGAAAAGAATGTGTTTTTTGAACCTTAAACTGCATAAACACATTTCATTACACCAAATACGCAAAATAATGTTCTTTTTAGTAGCATCATATGACCCCTTTAAAGAATAATTTCAGTGTGTAAAAATTGAGAGGCCAGTAAAATGTGTGTGTGTGTGAGTCTGATTGTCTCGGCATGATTTCCATTATTCATTGTTCTGTGAGTGGCTCTAATTGTAACATCATTACCAGCTTGAGTTCTAATAACTGCCCCCCGATTCCTCATTCGATCTGACAGATCACTTCAAGCACCATTAAAACAATTATCTTAAGAAGACTAGCACTGATTAATATTCCCATAATGCTCTCAAATTACGCATCACTGATATGTGGATGTGTCCTGAATCTTTGAAAACAGTCCTTATTTTGTCTCTCTTCTATTTTAAAGTAACACAAACATTGAGATTTTTTAGAAAAACTGCAGCACAAACTTTGAAGGCTTCTAAAGGAAATGAAAGAAGAGTTTTGCTATGAGAAAAAAACGATTTTATTACAGTGAACTACAGAAGCGCTGTTATTGCACTATAATTCATAAGTCATTTTAAGCTTTTTTACTGCACTGCAGTATTTTTAATAGAACAAGTGACACAACAGATGGCTGTTGCAGCATTATTGCATAAAACTCTGTTTAAAGAGGCCATGTTGTGTAAAACAATGTTCTTTGCCAAACTTTAACTATGGCAATAAAAAACACTCCCTTTCATATTTTCAATTTTCATTTTCAATTTTACTTAAAGTTTCTGTAATTTTGTCGTTTTTGTCATTTTTAGAAGTTTATTTATCTCTTTTTATAGATTTTTACTTCCGTTTTAGTCATTTTAGTACTTCAAAATGAAAAATAAAATAAGTTTGACAAAATAAATCTATAATATAAATATTTTTTTAACATTTTATTTTAATTAACATTTATTTTATTTCAAGTACTGACCTTTTTTTATAGTTTTAGTTTTAGTCAACAGTAAAATCCTTTATTAATATATGATCACTTACTAGGGATGGGCGGCACTTCAAAAACAACTCATCCAAATCAGAATTTAGAGTCGAAACTATCGGTTGTTTGTTTCTTCAGGACTAGCTTTTGCTGGATGTTTAAATACATTTAATTAGAGACCAGCTTCTCAAGAGCTCAAAAGGCCTTTTTGGATGCCGACCATGTTCAGTATGATTACTGTGTTTGTAAGGCAGCATTCAGCTCGAAACACTTAACGTACAAGCTCTATTCAGACAGTCCTCTAGCATTTTCTGCAGTGTTACTGTTCCTGTAGCTCAGGTAAAGTACTAACCTCGACACTAACAATGCCGAGGTCACGGCTTTCGACTCCTGATAAAACACACTGAATGCTTCAGGTACAAGCGCCAACTAAACAAATATGTAAATACACTGCAGTTTAAACATTTGGGGTGGGTAAGATTATTTTTTAATGTTTTTGAAAGAAGTCCTTATGGCTGCACTTATTTGATCAAAAATACAGTAATATTGTGAAATATTTGTACATTTAAAATAACAGTTTCCTTTGTGAATATATTTTAAAAAGTAATTTATTCCTGTGATGGTAAATCTGAAATTTCTCCAGTCTTCAGTGTCGCATGATCCTTCAGAAATCTTGCTAATATACTGATTTGCTGCTCAAGAAACTTTTCTTATTATTAGCAATGTAGAAAACAGTTGTGTTGATTAATATTTTTGTGGAAACTGTGATGCATTTTTTTCAGGATCCTCTGATGAATAGAAAGTTCTGAAGGACAGCATTTATTTGAAATAGAAATCTTTGATCGATTGAATCTATTTTTGCTGAATAAAAAAAATATTTTCTTAAAAAAATAAAAATCTTACTGAGCCAGACATTTGAAAGGTAGTGTATTTTGTCTTGAAATATGTAATCTATTTCTGTTTTTTTTTCAATTGCTGTTTGAGCTACAGACACAATTATTGACAATGGAAGCAATTTTTCAATAAATATTGCTTGCTTATACAATATTATGTTATTATAAGTTAAACATTTCTTACAAAAATAAATAAATAAATAAATAATGTGTCATATAGAGCACTAAGTAGAAATCAGACACTTAGTGGTATTGATGCAGGTCTTATAAACAGATCCTAGATTGCTTCCGATTTCTTCCTCTTATAGCTACATGCTAGCCAGGACATCTCTAACATTTTTGAAAATGACCCTATTCATGACCTTAATGTCGAGTTCCACCAATTAGATTTTTTTTTGTGTGGAAACCGACATTTTTTTAAGACTGTTTGATGAACACATTCCAAAATAACAGCATTTATTTGAAATAGAAATCTTTGATCGATTGAATCTATTTTTGCTGAATAAAAAAAATATTTTCTTAAAAAAATAAAAATCTTACTGAGCCAGACATTTGAAAGGTAGTGTATTTTGTCTTGAAATATGTAATCTATTTCTGTTTTTTTTTTCAATTGCTGTTTGAGCTACAGACACAATTATTGACAATGGAAGCAATTTTTCAATAAATATTGCTTGCTTATACAATATTATGTTATTATAAGTTAAACATTTCTTACAAAAATAAATAAATAATGTATACAGTGGGGGATTTTCAATGTGATTTTCTGGATTTTTTTTTCTCATTTTGTCTCTCATAGTTGAGGTATACCTATGATGAAAATTACAGGCCTCTCTCATCTTTTTAAGTGGGAGAACTTGCACAATTGGTGGCTGACTAAATACTTTTTTGCCCCACTGTATATATAAATGACAGGTTTTATGGCCATTTATCATTATACTTTTGCCGCCTTACATGAAAAAAAAATATGTATATTAAAAAAAATAATGTATCACAAGGTTTACAAGCACAAAAATTTATATTTACGGATATTCAACACTATTCTTTTGCAGACTACAAAAAAAAATTATTATATATGCTCCTTCAGCTCTATTATTTTGGTGTCTTGCAAGCATTGGTATTCTGTAAAGAAAATGCAAATCTAGCCATATTAGCATATCCATATAACAAAGTGGAAATTACGTACAATATAAGAATGCTATAAGATCATACAACAGCATTCCTACAATATTACATGAGCTTGTGAGTGTTACCTGTCTCTCTGTGAGCTGAGGAAACACAGCAGATGACAGGCCCAGAGCAGCGGTCCTGCGTATGTGCTCAGTGCAGTCAGGAAAATGGCAGGTGCTTCTACGTAACTCTCCAGACCCACAAAACCCACAGAGATGTCCACCGTCCCAATGTTATTAGAGTTTCCCTGAAGATACCATATAACATAAACACAAACAGTTGACATACATTTTAACATTTTATAAAGACCCCAAAAATGTATTTGTCATGGCTGTCTGGAATAACATGATGGTGAGGGGAATTAATATTTTTGAGTTAACTCCTTTAATACTTTGTGCTAGGGGCTTGTATTGTAAATATATGCTCAATAGGGTCTAGCTAGTAATTAAAAGCTAAATTAAATAAATGTGGATGAACATCTCAATAAAACTGAAATCTTGATATAGCATTGTGAGGTTATAAAATCAAAGGCAGGGATTTTATTCAATATTTATATAGTCTTTTGGGCTGCATTTCATTTTGGGAAAGCAATGTGTGCCACGTTCACTTTATTTACACGTTTGCATAATTTCCAGCATTTCTGTGGATAGAAGTTTACAGTACTTCCACCAAAATAAAAGCTTGATGATCTGAACGACTGAAAGTGGAGAATTTAAGATATAAATATTAGTATTGTAAATTCCAGTGTAAAATAAATTATTATAACTATCAACTACTCTTTTTTTAATTTCACAGGATAATTTACAATTTAATTTACAACAGTAATATATTTATATCTTTATTTTTATAGAGTTAAATACTACTACTGATTATTATAATTATTATTATTATAAAGCGAAATAACTTTAAAGTAAAAACAAATCAAAATAAAACACTAACTAAAAAAGTTTTTTTAAATCCCTATATATGTGCGGCCCCTTATATATATAATTTCTAAATAAAAACAAATTAAAATAAAACATTAACAAAAAAAATATTTAAAAAAACTTTCATGTCATTTGACCATTAACCAACATCAGAGAACCATGAACATTAATAATAATAATAATCCCTATATATGTTCAGACATATATATGTAAACAATTTAAACAAAACAATAATAAAAAAATAAAACAGTTGCTAAAAAAAACATTCATGTCATTTGACCATTAACCAACATTAACCATGGACACGCGAATGTGTCATTAAATGATTTAAACAATAACCAAAAATTTCAAGCGGGATTTCAGGTAAATATTTTTTATGTCTGAGGGGTTCAGCTGACAAAGAAAGTTTGGAAACTGCTGATATAAACAGTAGTAAAGTGATGCAGAGGTTTGAGGTAGGGGTATGCCGGTATCAAATTCTCATGTTGCGATTAATTGCTAATGCTTTTATCACGGTATATGGTATTATCACGATATTGAAATTTAGTTTAAAAAAAAGTGCTGTCTTAATACAGTATAACAGGTTTAATAACTTTAAATAACTGAACATTTAAATGCAATAAAGCAATACAGAAAAATGTATAAAGTTAAAAGTTTTACACAGATTAAAGTGCAAAAGAACTATAAAGACCAATAGGTATCCCTTTACAATAAGACCTCATTAGTTAACCTTAGTTAATGCATTAACATTCACAATGAGCAATAGCTACATTTGCTACAGAAGTTATTAATCTTTGTTAAAAAAAATACAAGTCTTAGTTTATGTTAGCTCATTAAATAACACAGTTGCAACTTTCGATTTTAACAACGTGTTATTAAATATTGTAATTACTTAAGATTAATGAATGTTCAGGAGAATTTTTCATTGGCAGTTTATGTTAACTAATGAATTAACTACACTCTAAAAAATGCTGGGTTAAATACAACCCAGTGCTGGGTAAAATAGGGACAAACCCAGCAATTGGGCTGTTTTGACCCAGCGGTTGGGTTAAATGTTTAACCCAATTTTGGGTTTGGGTTAAATGGCTGTTTAAACAATTTAAACACGATTCAGAAACAGAAAGTAGTGCAGCTGCTTTGTTTACAGGGTTTCCGGGGTAATGGCTGCATTTCTGCAGTTTATCGCCATCTGTTGTCAGAGAGTGAAAGTGTGCTTTCATCCAGAGCGTCTCTTACATGTTCCGCCATGCGCTTCTCATCCGTGCTTGTTTACATCAGAGTGCGTACGCGTCTTTCACGCAGCATACAGCGGTGTTGTGCATTTTGACCAGTTGATGGGAAAAGTATTCTTAAAATGCATTCAACATTCGGAATAATTTGTAATATATAATTATTCACGGTATGTAGAAGTGCCCACGATAACAATATCGTGCATATTCATTACCGTGATATATCGCATTACCGAATACGGCACATGTCTAGTTTGAGGCATCCTGCAGTTATTCAGGTGTGGTGAGAGAAGCGCCATGTGTTTCTAGTCTCTGCTGACAGACTCGAGTCTGAGGGTCCCTCGGCTGATAGACGGATGAGGAAGAGGGGAAATAAACTAACATATCCTGCTCTTTCCTGTCAGTGGCTCACAGGAGGCTGTGCCTGTCACTCCGGCTGCTCCTGTCAGGACAGGCAGATTGGAAAATCCTCCTTCTCAACGCTCTCCTCTTGCCACTCTTAGTCCCATTATTTCATGCTGGTTTGCAGTGTCAGGGTGGGGGCGGAAAAAGGGCCTGGCCTGACAAAATGAGCTAAATCAATGTGACAATTTACAATTAACAATCACTTCCACCCTGCTTAATGGCTAGAAAGAGAGAAGAATATATCCGTCCTTTGACAGTTCAGTTGCATTGACCCTGACTGTCCTTTTGATGATGATGTCATTGTCAAGCCCATAATTCCATGCTCGGGAGCTTTAAATGATAATTGGCCAGTAAAGCACCGTTTATGACCCTTAATTACACACACACACACACACACCTCAGCTCTGATTTGATTTACTCTTGATGTATCATTATAAACCTGATTATTTTGATCAGGTTTATAAACAGTCCACCCATCTGCCAATGGTCGGGCAAAAGTTTTGGTGACTTTTATTTAATGTCTGTCAGTTTTGATGTCATTTTATACCGTTTGTCATTTATACTAAAAGTTTGGAATAATTATAAATATGCAACGTTTTTAAAAGAAGTCTCTTCTGCTTACCAAAACAGGCATTTATTTGATGAAAAAGTTAAAAAGTTAAAACAGTAATATTGTAAAATATTATTACAATTTAAAATCATTTTCTATTTGATATTTTAAAATGTAATTTATTGCTGTGATGTCTTATTATTATCAGCAAGGACGCATTAAATTGATCAAAAGTGACAGTAAAGACAGTTATAATTTTACAAAATATTTCTATTACATTATTCATCAAAGAATCCTGAAAAAATGCATCACAGTTTCCACAAGAATATTAAGGGAAAAAATTGTTTTCAACACTGAATTAGCTTGTTATTTTTATATTTTCAGTTTAGATTTTAGCACTTTTGTTGTGCACTAGTGCCATTTTTATTTATTTATATTTAACTTTAATTGATTTTCACTTCAGTTTTAGTTTGAGTAATTTTAGTATTTTAATATAACTTTTTATTTCAGTTAGTTACCAAGACAACATTTCTAATTTCAATTTTTTATTTTATTTTATGTCTAATATTTTTCATATTAGTGGTCAAGGCAACATTTCTAAATAGTATTTATGTTTAATATTTTCCTAATATTTATATTTTATTGTAGTTTTTTCAGTTACATTTTTTTTAATGGTTTTAGTTTACAATAACAACACTGTACCAGAAAATCAAAAGTAAAGTTTTGCATGTTTACAATTTTGTTAGTTAAACCATACAAAAACATTTACTTTCTATACTTGCTTCCCATTTTTACTGCCTTCGCTTCTTCATTTACTCTCAATGGTGGTATTACAACATTGATAACACAAACATAACAAGATTCGGTGCCAAATAGCCCGAATCAGTCTTATTCACGATTTCAATGTAAACCATTCATCAATCCAATGTGAAAAGTGTTCAAACTCTTGATGGAATCAAACTTGGGTTTGGGCCGAGCGATCGACCTGAATGAGTAAAAACATCCTGAGAACAATGAAACTGCAATTATTTAATCAATATGCATTAAAGGAGGAAACCAGACCTCTATTGTCTACACTTAACAAAGCCATTCTTATAGATGCTTTCCTCTCCTCATTACCTGAAAGTAGAAGAAAGCCTGGCCGAACCAGTAGTGCATGATGGTGGTCTGGGCGGCATCGTAGTGGAGCTTCTTCCAGATGAACTGAGCCATGATTGTCTGGATGAGCAGACAGCAGGCCAGCGTGGGCAAATTATGAGCTCTGAACAACAGAGCCACCAATAACACCACGCCACTGTACACTTCCCACAGTCCCCTGCTCTTCAGCCGCCTGCTGTCCACCGCTGACGACATCACCTGCGAACGCAACAGGTCCTTCACGCCGGTGAATATGATACCAAGGATGAAAACATAGACGAATCGCGCCTCAATGGTTCCCCTGAAAACAGAACGTGAGAAAAACAGAAGGAAAGATTCTTGTTTAGGATCACTGAAGACACTCAATTTTTCACTGCTCTCTTTCGAACACACGGAAGAATCGATATCGACTGCAAGCACCCTTTTGTTTGAAGGCTCGTCTTTATCTCGGGCAAAGCTTGTGAAGTCTGGAGAGAATCAATAACAGTGAGGTTTGGCGCTTTGCAGCAGAGAGCAGAAATTACTTATTATAACCCACAGGAGGTCAGCGGGGTCACCTGGAGGAAATCAGTAGAAACCGCCTGAAAGACCACCTTCTTGCTTTATACAATGTAGTAGATGCAGCAAAACTGCTGGGACAATATCAGGAAAACATCAAAGATACAGATAGACCACACCGCAAGCAAAACACCTCAAATGAATACTACTACTGTCAGGACAAAGCATATTCAATGACCCATTTATATCTAAATTATGACCGATTCATGTAAATGAACCTGTTCACCCTTCTCCGGGAGTTTGATTGACAGGTGATCTGACTAATCATGATGCCGAATATACCATTTTGTCTGACAAACAAATCAGACAGGAGAGTAGACTAACATCGGTGGACTTAAACTTGAGAAATGGCGTGTACTGACATCTTTTTCGCGGTTGAAACAAGATACCTTCTGATGTTCATTCATGTTTATTTTGTGCTATAACTTGTAAAGAGGAAGAGATGAACGGTTCACATGCCGCTTGAACTGAGGTGCTACAGTGATCCGTCACGACACATTAAAGAGCCACAAAACGGTATTTATAGTTTGAAGTTTTTTTAAAATTTGAAAGCTGAGACTTTGTTTCATACTCTTGTTTTGTCTGTCAGCATGTTGTCAGTTTCCTCTTTGCGATGTATTTTTCACAGCGTGAGAACATGATGTGTGGTGTTAGAGCGCCATGGCTTGTCGGACGTAGCAACAGTAACTAAGGGGGGCGGGTCTTGGCGAAGGGTCAATTCAAATTGAAATTTTTCAATGATTCGTCTCTATGCACAGAAGTCTGTCTTAATACTAAAACAATTTGTTAAACACTGCCATTCATCACTGTTTTTAACTCTATTCTAGTTGTATTTAGCGTTCATTTAAGTGTAATGCTGTCACTCTAATCAAGATCCATTCATTTGAAACCCTTGTTCTTTAACCAGAAATACTTCTCTGATTAAATTATACAATCCATTTATGATGATCTGATCTAGTTTAAGATACAGTACATTGTCCCTTTGAATAGCTTAGAAGTGCTTTGTGTAAGTTGCTTGTATAGTGCAGTTTTTTAAAAGCTCCTTTTCGAAAGGGCAGTGTGACTATGTTCTTTAACTATGTTAAATCATGAGTCGCTTGTAGCTTGAGACTCTACAGTTTCACAGAACACTGGATCAGTCACATTAAATGTGATTAGAGCAAAGCAGGCGGGGGATTTCAGCAGTTTCCCTGGAGAAGAAGGAAAGTCTCATCACTTTTATTACCACTGTGTCTCTGTTCCTCTTCACTGTAAATAAGCTCCATCAGAGAGCAAACTACATCTACACAAAACACTTTAATCCAACACGCGTTACCATGCCAACCGAAACTTGGCAATGGCACGCTGTTCCCAGGCATGGATGCATATGCCGAGAGAGTGACACAGCAGGAAAAAGTGTCAAACCAACGGCCGGAGAAAATCATCAGACAGACACACTTGAACGAGAGTCCAGACTCTGGATTTGCTTTAACCTGCACAAACAAATGAGGAACAATTATTGTGCTTTATCACAATAATGCCACCTGCAAAGCTAATGCTTTAAGTTCAATAAACTTTGTGAACTCCAGCACCCCCCCACCCCCCCTTGAAGGTCAAGTTAATTTTATTTAATTATATTTTCTCTATAGCGCCAGATCACAACAGAAGTCATTTAAAGTTACCTTTCTTATAGAACATGTCTATACCTTGTTCTTTCATTAAGCAAACTAAACAGCCTTATGTTATTGATCTTATTTACATGACGGCATGTCATTTCAGTCTCTACGTTAAGGTCGCGCTCTCTGTATCACGCACAGCGGAGTTCCGCCCGTTGTGCGCGCTCACACACACACACACACACACTCACACTCACAAGTAAGCCCACTCCGATTCATATTTAAATATGAATTCTGCGTGTCTCTGTGTTAATGAATGGCGCAGACGCGCGGT